GAGATTTTTGTACTTGTGAAACCATTCGGAATTTTATCTCATGATGTGATATTCAGTAGGATGGATACAGTGGAGACGTGACTAGAACCCCTGTCAGTTTTTATTTCTATAAAGTGGTAAAATGGTTTAAAACCGTCCAAATATGCCAACTCACTTAAGTCAGTGCGGTCCCTGCAGCATATGTATTAATACAAAAGAAAAAATAAGACGGGAATACCAGTCAAAAGGAATCCGCTTTTACAGGACACACGTGGCGTGTCAAAAACAAGTGAGTTAAATTAAGTAAATGCAAAGATCTTTCTAAATGACAAATATTGAATGAAAATAGTATCAACAATCACAAAACATATAGGAGTTTATTTACTAAAGCTGAAGAGTCCAAAATCAGACTCCCTTCTGCATAGAAGCCAATCAGCTTCTAACCTCAGCTTGTTCAATGAAGCTTTGGCAATGAAACCTGGAAGCCGATTGGTTTCTATGCAGAAGGGAGTCTGATTTTGGACTCTCCAGCTTAAGTAAATAAACCCCATAGTGTCATTGAGGAGATTTCCCTTCAATTCCTGTCCCATAGCCAAAACAAGAAGTGAGAAGAAATCCCTCCAAGTTAAAAGAGTACCTTGGAGCCCCCAGGTCACCAGAATCAGTGTCTTTATTTGGAAAATGTCCCCTCTATTACTTTTCTGGGGACAACCCAAAGTTTGGGATTTTATTTTACTTTCAATGATAATGGTAAACAGGACAAATAGAGAGGATGAATCTCCCCAAAGGAGACACAGACAGCAAAAAAAACCTGACAGGGGGTCTAATCCATCTCTACTCCATCCAAAGCTAAAAAACAGTTTTGCTTTTAGTTTATACTTTAAGTAAATCAGCCCCAACTATTCTGTGTTTTTTCATATTTAGGTTTCTATGCATTACTATTGAGAGAACATATTCAAAAAGGTAGAGACTACTCCAAATTAGCTATTATACGGGGTGTCCCTAACGTCAAAATACTTTCAATAAATTTCAATACATTTTTCAACAATATTTTATTTCATTGGAATATTAATCAATAACATCTTCAATGGGATTTCCACCATTTGTGATGCAAAAGTTCCATGCGCTTTGCAAGATTCTCATGAACGCGATGCAGTAACTTCACATTTCCATCAAATTGAGCACATTCGTTCATGATGCTTTCCTTCAGGTGATTCATATCTGTGATTTTCATTAAGTACACCTTCTCCTTTAGCATACCTCAAAAAAGACAAACTCATATTTAATATGTGGATAAAAAAACATATAGTTTAGTGATATTGCCTATGTGTCTAGACTTTAGGGGCACCCTGTATTTTTTACATTCCTTAAATACCTTGTACCTGGACCACTACTTATTTAATGCATGCATTTATTTATTTAATTTAGAGAATTGACTTTAACACCATATTATGAGGTATTTACTGAGTGTTTTTGTTTTGTGAGGTAGATAACTCGTAAGGTGATAGTGAATTGACATTTTCAGCATCTCATGAGATAATTGGAAAAATTGTGTCATGTGATTCAATTATCTCAGAAGATATTCTTTAGTGAATACAGCCCACAGAACCCTGTCCCCACAGGTGATCCAAAAATAAACCTAAAAAGCATGGCTCAATTTGCTTTAGTGGTAGACAACAAATTCCTTCTCAATACCTCAAAAAAGCCAATGGATGCTCCCACCGTGGACCAACAGTTTTTGGTGTTATTATCTATAAATTCACCCTATGGTACTGTTTCTTTTTGGCTTAGCCTGACCCCAATCATAAACTTGCCTAATAACTAGTACACCTTGGCCTGTCTAGTTGCTGGTTGCCACCAGCAAGGCCGTATCAGGGATTGTGTATCAGGGTGGGATAGTCCTGCCAAACATACCTTGGGTCTGCCCCAAAGCCTTCTCTCAGTTTTACCTGTCTGGAATATATCCCAAGATAGCCTATGTGTACATCAGCATACTTCAGGATAAGATGACCGAACGTATGGCACCTTCTTGATTTGGGCAGCACAGTGGCTAAATGGTTAGCCAGGCTAAATGGTTAGCACTTCCGCCTGGCAATACTAGGGTTGCTGGTTCCCAACCCCGGCACCACCTGTCTGGCGTTTGCATGTTCTCCCTGTGACTGCGTGGGTTTCCTCCGGGTACTCCGGTTTCCTCTCACACTCCAAAGACATGCTGGTAGGTTAATTGGCTCCTGTCTAAATTGTCCCTAGTATGTGTATGTATGAATGTGAGTTAGGGACTTTAGATTGTACGCTCCTTACGGGTTAGGGACTGATGTGAATGTACAATATATGTATGTAAAGTGCTGCGTAAATTGACGGCGCTATATAAGTACCTGAAATAAATAATAAGATGCAGCAAATCTGCTTTGCAATGCTCTCTGGCTGTTACTCTCCTTAACCAATCATGAAAAGCAACAACCCAGTCGTACACAAATAACATACTTTCCACTATTTTATACTGTGACCTTCATCTTTGTGACCATCGCTTAGAATAAAACTTGAGATATTTGTGGCCAGTGTGATTTCACACCACTAGTACAGTGGAGAGTGCAAAATCTGGTACCATGGCTACCATGCACAGCTGCACTATATTCTGAGTGCACCAGTTTTAGTAAATACCCCCCATTATCTGTGAAACTTCAACAGTTGACCCAATCTTCTTGTACACCTTTTGTAATTAGACTTATTCATAAATTATGATAGACTGGGTAAAAGTAATTTTTCATTCAGTAAATCATTTCTTATATATGTCTTTAGATGAACTTTCTTAACTATTCAAGTCTCACTTACAACCTAAAATCAGTGCTGTAGCAGTTGCATGCAGTTGCATCACTGTTTTAAAGCATTGGTGGCTTGAACTATGTAATAGCCAGGGTTGACTTCACTTTTCTTCATTTCATGACCTAGTGTCACAGGGTGAGGAAGAGAGGGAATATAACATTTAGTTATAATTGTTGACATAGGTTAATTATTGACAATGTTTCATTGCAGAATAATTCTAAACTGTAGTTCTTCCATGCAACTTGGATAGAAAAAAAAAATGTAATTTATTGGTAGCACTTATCATTGGCACTGGCTAAATTTGATTTAATCCATCATGCAAAAATGAAATAAGTATTTGAAGTTTTTAATTTGTTTGGATATCATTTAGAAACAAATGTAATTTAGACTCTATTTATTATCTTTAGAATGGTAATTTTTTTTATTTTAAAAATTATCATCTAGCCTTCATAACTGCATTTTGTGTTTTTTCCATCCATTTTTTTTGCTTTTAAATTTTATTACATTGTCTAGTACATAATCGATGAACTATCTACACAAAGGAATCATAAATAATAATAATCCTAAAAAATATTTTCCTGAATTCGGAAGAGTTGCGATTCTTCACTGCAAAAAATCAATCCAGTTATTATTATAATATAATAATAATATTTACCACCAAAATCAAAATTGATATGAAAAGTATTGAAGCCATCCAAGTTGAAATACTATTGTTGTGTGTGGTTTTTTTTTTTATTGTCTTCTGTCATTCTGCTAAAACTATGTGTATTTGTACTGCTTGGACCTTGAAGAAGGGGATACACACCGACAGCTTGTCTTGAACACTTGAATGTTAGTGCAGATAAAAAAGTATCTGTGGCAGAACTCAGTTGTTTTTGATACTATCCAAGTAAACTTTTTTGCTTTTTGTAGTGACCTCACTAGGTTTCTCTTCATTTTGCTTCAAGCCATTTTTTTTTTTTTTTTTTTAGTTTCTTTTTCCAATTTTCGGTGTTTATCAGCTTGCTTTAGGCAGCTCATAGGTGATTCATTTTTCACACCTATATGTGACTTAAGTTTTTGTAGTATTTTTTCATAAACATTTGTACAGCTTTAAAGGATAAGTTCACCTTTCATAACATGTCATGTGTTACACCCATATTCAGGGTGTGTAATATGTTATGAAATGACCAGCCCCACTACCTCTCCAAGCCCCCATTTTGACAGCTAGTGGGGGATCTTCTCCCCCCCTGCTAGCTGTCAAACTTGAAAAAAAAAAAAACACAATCATGCGGGGTGCTGCCCGTCTGACTGTGTCACTCATTCAAAGTGTTCTTTCAATGAGAAACTTCAAGTCCCAACAGCCTTAGCAGCTGTCGGCTTGTAGTTCTTGCTGAAACTACCACGACGCTGTGAGTGATGTGATAGTTAATTGATTTTTCTGTCAGTAAGTATCAGCTTGCCCCTATGAGGTACAAGCAAGCAGATACACTGACAGGACTGCAGGAGACCTGAAGATCGCTGGTGCAATGCTTTGCAGGCCCCTACAACAAAAAAAAATAATGAATACACATTTTTTTTGCAGGTAAGAAAATGTGCATTTATTATTTTTTGATAGGTGAACTTATCCTTTAACCACTTCCAGACCGAACACTTTTACCCCCTTCCTGACCAGGGCAATTTTCAGCTTTCAGCGCTATCATACTTTGAATGACAATTGCGCAGTCATGCAACACTGTACCCAATTGAATTGTTTACCATTTTTTTGAGACAGCTAAAGCTTTATTTTGGTGGTATTTATTCACCACTGGGATTTTTATTTTTTTTTCTATGTAAATGAAAATGTCCAAAAATTTTGAAAAAAAGTGTTTTTTAAAAAAAAATTTTGCAAATAAATAATATTTCATCATAAATCTTTGCCAAAATTTATTCTGTTATCTTTTTAGTAAAAAAAAAAATCCAAATTAGTTTATAACCAAAAATTATAATTTAAAAAAATTTTTTTTTACATTTTTATTTTATTTTATTTTATTTTTTTTTTTACATATTGTCACCCTAGCAGTACAGTATCACCATGGTGACACTGTACTACTTGTGGGGGGTGATGAAGATTTTTTTTTTTTTTTTTTTTTTTTACACTGATTGCTTTTACACCCTTATAGGATGTAAAAGCAATCATTTCTCTTTCTCTCTGTGTGCATTCTTGCACTCATTGAGAAGTACTGAGTGAGCTGTGATTGGTCACAGCTTGTCACATGGTACAAGGCTGTTGTGAATAGCCTTGTACCATGTGACCTCTGTGATCATTCACAGATTTCACACGTAGTAAGCAATGATGTCACAAGTGACATCTTGTTTACTACTTTGCAAATGATCACTGATTGGTCAATCAGTGATCACATGATCGGGACCTCGTACAGAGGTCCCGTCCGACGATCGGTGTTTCACTGTGTCCAGGGACACAGCGCGCACAAGCAGGGGTGCGGGGAGGCCGTTTATAAATGGCCACCCGACCCTGCAGTGCCACCGTCCAGCCGTTTATATGCAACGGCCAGTCGGGAAGTGGTTAAAGTACTTATAGATAATATATGACCGTTACCTTTGGTTCTGCCAATTTCTCTTGGGTCTCCCAGTAAATGATACTTCTTCAAGAACTTGCAATCCCTTTCTATGACTTTGCAAAAATCTGTTACAAAAGCATTAGTAATCAAACTGTATATGCATATATGTCTAATCACCTATAGTGACCATTGGAAGCCATTTTATAGTCTCATATCAATATACATACAGTCAGCTGAAGTTCTTGCGCGATTCATTTTTCATTCTTTCTTTCACTTCCCTTTTCCCTTTCTTGCTTACTATTACCATAGCAATAAGAACAATGGGAAAATCATCACATTTTTTCTAAATTTCATTTTGACAAAATCAGAAACACTTGCAGTGTTTTACACAGCAGAGGAGAGGGATAAACCCTCAGTAATAAGCATTACTGTCCCACAGCATTTTCATTTAAGAACAGCAACAGCTGAGCTTGTGTGAATTCGACAGGAGGAATGACATAAGATATGATCTGACATGGCAAATCAGCACCTTCCTCCACAGATCACAGCCCCACAATGATTCATTATGAGGCCCAAATGACTATGAAACCTGAAAGAAAACTGAACTTATCGTCAGCTTGGCAGCTCTTCAGAAGATTACAGAGAGTGTTGTAATACTCTTCAGTGTCAGCTTACTTCTCTTCTTATGGTTTTCCTAGTCATTACTGTGAATATTGTAGTGGACTAGAAATGTACCGTGTGTCAAAGGTACAATAAAGTTTTGTTGGATTTCCTCCATTATCTGAAAAGTTCCAGGGCCATTTAATTGGTTAGGGACTGGCTACATCCTTTATGGAACCTTATTAGACCAGAACAGGTCACGTAGTAAATCAGTTTTAGAGAATTTAATTCTTGGACCTTATTAATTTTGAGTTGCCTAGAACACAAAACATTTTACCTAAGAACAGGATCTTGTAATGCATATATTATCCAAATAACTAACTTAGAAAGTTGTTCTGCCCTTTTACATTTCATTTAAAGCATACATTTCCTCAAGCAGTCTGAAAATGTTAAAGGTTATTTCGAGTATACTTCTGATGTACAGTAAGATTGAATTTGCACAGCTGCTTTGGCTAGTGTTTCCAGTCGCATTCATTGCATCAACGCCCTTCATTGTTGGAGGGTAATGTGACTATTTTGTGATAGTCCAATTTACTTTAATAGAAGGTAGGAAAAATGCATTTGCTTTTTGGGAACTTTAATACAACTATAAATGTGAAGAATTATGACCTAATCAGGTCTTGAGAATTTAACTCATCTTTGCCACTGTTTTAAAGTGGGTACATTTTCATTGAGGTAGATTGGATCTTCTCTATATAAAATAAGCATCTTAACATTTTTCCTGCTGTAAAGTAGGTTCTCAGAATAAGAAGCTAGAAGGTTTAAAATATTCTTGTTAGTTATAAATAGTCTCCTGGGTTGCAATGCAAAAATCCTGTATGTTACTCTCTTTGGTCCCCTAAATTCCGAACTGATGCAGTCTGCAAAGTTGGACAATTCTGGTACTGGGATTGCTGACCCTGCTTTCTTCTTCTTGCTTCTTCTGGGTGATGAGCCATCTTATTATAATAATGGACCTGTAATAATCTGCGAAAGTTGCTGAGCATACTACTCTGCAGTACTATGCAGCCATTAATAATAGGAAAGGCATATCTCTGTGTGGGTATATGAAAGTCCAACACTTTCAAAAGAAGACAGACTTGAGTCAAATTAACACAATGTGTGTACATGTATAAATCTCTTTAGCCTAGAATTAGTGTTTCTGATTTCACTCAGATGCAGAGATGGCCTCAAAGGAAAACTAGGGAGAGTGAGGCATTGTAATTTCAAAGCTTGGCATCCTAAAATATAAGAAATGATAGAACATCCTGCATGAAGAGCTTAGTTTGGCCTGATGTTATCATTTATAAAGTAAGCTCGTTTCAATGCTTGTGACACATAATTTTCATGCATGTGCAAAAAACAAAAAAAAAAAAAAAGTTAATTGCTTCACTCTGGGTAAATACAATAAGGTTTGGGAGCTGTGGCACCTTATGGACATTGGTGTTTTATAATTCAACCAACTGTCTGCCCCCAGGCGTACTCCGATTCATATTTGCATTGTGTTATTGCTCCAGTTCTGTAGAGAGGTTATTGTGTCCTGTTACATTCTGTATAATTTCTCCCACCTTTTCAGCTGTCTTTATGAAGTTTCTCATTATGTTAAAAATCTACACCCCCTTCTACTAAATCCCTGTTCATTCTTAGTGACCAAGACCAAACTACCCAATGCTTTTTTGATGTAGCCAAATATATTTTATTGGCATAAAATAGCTTGTGTTTTCCAACAAGCAATATACACTTCACATTAATCTACACTCAATTGCCATGTCTCTTGATACTGGTCTTTATTTCTGCTTGTGATTGTCTTCATTTGTACTAAAATGTACCGTGAATGTTGTAACGTACCATCCACTGCCTATATGCTTCACATTTTCTATTGTTCTGTTTTATTAAAAATTAATAAAAGTCAGTTATCAAAAGAAAATAAATAAATAAACAGCTCCCACTGCTATGCTCAAACTGTCTTCAGCACTTACTGATCCAACACTGCTATGCCAGTCTTTTTCTTGGTTGAATGAGACCCACAGTCATTCAACCCATTTTCTGTAAGTCCAGGACTTCAAGTGCCTGGCCCTCTATCCTGAACTCACAGCTTAATGCTGCAGAGAGTAGCAGCATTCAGGATCCCCCCAGTGCTGAATGAAGAAACGGGTGGAGAAGACCTGTCAGGGCATTCAGCTGTACTGTGAACACCTGGATAGAAGTAATGTGCAATGTGCCTGGCAAGCCCTGAGACCCTGAACTTCAGGCAAACAACTAAATATGGAGTTGATATACATAGAGAGAAGCTCTTTTCCTGCCAATTAATATGCATCCAGTTCTGATATTGATGCAACTCTTCCAGACAAGACAACAAAGTTCATGAACTGAGTATTTTCTACTGCAGTGAAGCAATAAGGCTGGGTCACCTCCCTACCCCAAGCCTGTGAGTGGGTAGTAAGGGATCAGCAAAACACTGTTAAGGGAGCTTTAACACAGTACTAATGGCATAACAATAGCCATAACAGCCATGACTGCTTTGAAGCCTGGGGATGACAGGGACCTGATTGGGGGAGTGGGGGCTGTTAAGACAATTTAGGCAGAAAATCTGTGTCGGTAACACATATCCATCACTGCATTAATAAAGTGATTGTAAATGCAATTTTAAAATAATGGAATTGCACAGAGAAGCCCCAATCCTCCTCTTCTGGGGTCCCTGGCGGTGATCCTGATTCCTCCTCTCCGGTGAGTGCCCCCATAGGAAGTTGCTTCTTATGAGGGTACTCTTGCAGGCTTGCTCCCGAGCCTGCTGTCGACGTCTATAGACACAAACAGTGGGACTTTGTCCTACCCCTTACTACCTTGTCACTGGCTTTGATTAACAGCAAAGCCTGTGAGACCAAGAAGTTAGGGGAGAGAAGAGCTGCAGATAAGCACAGAGCTAGATCGAATGAGGGCTCCGGTTAGTATGAGGAGGGGGAGGGGTGAGACTAATGCCTAAACATTTTTTACCTTAGTGCAAGGAATGCATTAAGGTAAAAAATGTTAAGGCTTTATAGCCACTTTAGGGATTGCAGGCGATGCTATTGACACTGACCCTTTACCCCCATTTGACATTTCTAGTCAAGCAGAGCTGACATCAAGATATAAGTTCCTATGGCCTTAGCCCAGTTATAGTGCTGCTTTAAAAAAAAGGAACATTTACAAATCATAGCCCTATGCTTTATGAGCATACTTTGTACTTCATTTCTTTTGGGATTCCGAAGCAAGCAAAACTCCGTCCAAATTAATGAATAGAGAAATAAGTTCTCAGAGGAGTAGAGACTGGTCACATGATTTTGACAGATTATGGGACTGGACTCTTTATTTATTTCTATTTTTTATTGTGGCTTCTTAAGTTCAAATAGTCTACTACATTGTATACTGTAGCACCCCAAGTAAGCCCTGCTGTATGTTTCATTGTGGTTGTTTTGGTTCAGTAGTGTGACCCTTGCTTCACTCCTATAATGGTTTGCAGGTTTTCTGTTCTAACCTACATTTCCTAAAGGATTTAAGGGCATTCGGCCAAGCACAATTATTTCAGTATATGTTTTGGCCTACCAGGCATATTATATATTTTTTTATGAAAAGACACTTGATAGCACCGTTTTTTTAATCTTTGGTCCTTTGTTTACATATTTAGAATCTGAATTATTATGCTGCACCCCTGAAAGATATAAAAAAGTTATGTATTCATTTTGAAAAATCATTTAAACATATTTTTAAATGCAATGAGTATAGGTATCCAAATTTTAGTTAGTTCCCTGTACAGCAGTACTTGGAATGAAGGAGGGTGGCCCAGCACTAGGGGCAGTCAAGTTGGCTACATGCACATGTGTTCACAAACATCGTGTTTGACAGGAAGAGAGCAGAGTGTCTGGAGAAATGAGCTTGTTAAGTATGATCTTTCACTATTCAGTCAGAAGCTAGGGCTAAGGAGATGGCCTTGCTGTAATTGTATTCATTTAATTTTTAAAAAATCCTAAGCTCAGATCCACTTTTACTTACCTAAATCCATGGTCATGTGACACACTCGAGTCGTCTATCTTTTTCACTGCAAAGGAGGGAGGTATCTAGATGGATACTAGACTTGAGTGAGAAAAAATCTGCTAAATAAAGTATTTAAGAAACATTTTGGAAAGGGTTGGGAGGGAGGATTTGAAGCAAGATTGAAGAGTTCAGAAATGGACTCAGATGGGTTGTAAGTTTTTTGTTTTTCTGAAATTGGTAAAATTAAAAATTATGTGGTCAAAGATAGAGCTAATGGCATTTAATCATTCTTACATTGCTATATGGAGATCAGAA